TTTTTTTTTATCAAACACTCAATTTTTGTAATTTCTTACTAAACTGTCCAGGTGCTGGTGCTGGTGCTGATGTTGGATCTGAAACGGAACGTTATCTATTAGGTTTAGAGCAGTGGTTCCCAAACCTTTTTATCCTACCGCCCCCTTCCTAGAAAAAATATTACTTAGCGCCCTCAGGAAATTAATTTTTTTTAAATTTTGATGGGAATTAATAGGTAATATATGTGTATTAATGTTTCAACCTTTTTCGTAAAATATAGTAAAGAAAGATGTAAATTAGAAATATTGAACTTTGAAATTGTGAAACTATTTATTGAACTCAGAATAGAATGTAATACAAAAAAAGGTAAAACATTCAAAATCATCTTAATGAGGAGGATGAACCTGGTGTGCTGCTACCAATTTAGTAATCCTCGGTTCTATTTTCGTCAGCAGTAATATTAACTCACCGCGATTGGCTATTTGCAATTGGTTTCTTTTTTGTTAATAAATTGGTTACCGCACTGAAACCCACCTTCTACTAAATATGATGAAGGAAATGCAATTAAGAACTTTTGAATTACAGCCCATATTGGCCACCAGCGCCCCCCTGAATCGTTACACCACCTACCAGGGTACGGTGGCGCCCACTTTGGGAATCACTGGTTTAAAGCTGATAAAGGTCAATCCTTTTTTATTTAGAATTCGATGCTCTACCATATTTTTGTATTAAAAAATATAGCATTCCATTTAAAATATGAGATTGGCCTCTAGATCTCCTCTATTACTCCACCCATGAGAAAACGATTATTACTACGTTATGTAGCCTGTCCTACCAAACAACTTTTGTAGGAACAGATTTTTAATAACTACATCTTCCGAGATATCCTGCTGTACTCGCTTAAAGAAACACCCTGTATAATACTATTCTTTACGATCATTTGTGACTCTGTACTATAATTAAAGATTTTAAAGGGAGCAAAAAAAAAAACAAAATACGCAGAATTAACTAAAGCAATTACATTGATAATGCAATTGAAGTGTAATATTAGATTTGTAGTTATTGCATAAAATATTTTCATTAGCGAAATTAGAAAAATTATTTAACTCTTTTTAGTGCTTTTTTCCAGTTGATTAAATTTTAAATAAAAGTTGTTTATCTAAAGATTTAACTGTGCAAATTGGGTCGATATTGGAATATTCGGATTTTCTGTGAAAAAATTTGAATATTCGTAATCCGGATTACGAATAATTCGTAATGTTATTATTCGATATATTTGATTATTCAAATAGTTTCAGGCCTATTATATGGGTGATTCTGTTCTAACTGCTACCTTTTTGATTGAAAATTTTTCTATTATACTATTTTACGAAGAACAAATTAACTTAAATATAGTTTTTGGTTTTCATCACAGCATTTTTTGAATTCTTGAGCTTCTACGTAGTGATACAGTCTGACTTTTTGTTGAATAATCACTAGCAACATTTTTTTGAAGACTTTTAGAGTTTTAGTCAACTTCGGCGATTTTTTAACTTTTTGCGATGAATCCTTTGGTTCTTTTGTTTTTTGCATCAATCTCTTGTTTATATTTCCAACTTTATCGTTTGAAGAGTAGTCAATTCTTCCCGTAAAAAAATGTTTACATGAATTTTCATTAGAACGATCAAAGCAACTTAATGAATTGAATAAAATACAATTATGCTGTAATTTATTCCACGAGTATTGATGTATTTTTATAGTACCTACGAAAGGCATGAAATTATTTGGTAATATTGCATCAGTATTCGATATCATAATTTTCTTATACGAAGTATTGGGCTCATCTGGCATGAAAAAATTATAATTAATAATACAAATAATTTTACTAATAATTAATTATATTTATACTATTTTTTTACACGATACTGACATTTTAAATTTAATTAGTAACTATAATTATTCGGTTATGAATTTGATAATATTCAATTACGGTATTATTGAGGTTAGTAATAAGTACAAAAGTTCATTACTTATGATAAAAAAAATCAATAATTAACTAAATTTACCAGTACCACGGTACTGACAAGTCAATTTATGACATACCTTTTTGAAAACTGACTTTTAAAATAACACAAACTTGTTGCACAATTTCAACAGTGTTATGTTTTCAAACATTACATTTTTAATGTACTTTCAATAAGGTTAACTAGTTGTTTTATTAATCTCGAGGTATATGGCGCACGAGTTGTACAAATTCAAATTCAAAAATCCGCTTAAATCTAAGGACAAATGTTATTAAGCCAGAATTCAATATTGAATTAATATATTCAAGAAAAATTTGTCACTTTTTTCAAGTTTGATTATATACATCAAGTTTTATGGGTTATTTGGTTTGAATCGTTTGTTGCGACAAAGAAAATAATGAATTTATAGATCAATTCTAGAAATGGACATAACACGGTACTGACATTTAAGTGATATATTGTAAGTTTTCTCTGGTCTGCAAGTTATATTACACAGAAAAAGTGATGAAATACGTTCATGGGGATCGTATTAATACAAAAATTGTATGAATACAATGTTAATGTATAACCAATGAGAGTAAATAGTACAGGACATTAATAATCACTGTTAGAATGGAATCACCCATATACCTCCAAATGTGATAATGGGTCATCATGTTAGGGTGCATTACATTTTTCTAAATGCTGCCGTGTTATAATTATCTAGAGACGCGGTAGCATCTCAAATAGAGACGCCTATATCAAAAACTCAAAATTTTCTTTTTGCATACGTTTGCTCATCGTTTGCTCAGGAAAGCTCAAGTGGAATTTTCGTTTGCCCCTCTTTAGTTCAAAAGATACGGGCGATTCAAAATTTTGCAAAGTGTGAAGCTGGCCCCACCTAATTTGAATCGCCTATATCTTTTGAACTAAAGACGGGCAAACGAAAATTCCACTTGAGCAAACGTGAGCAAACGATGACGAAACAGAATCAAAAAGAAAAATTTAAAATTTCGAAAAAGGTGGGGCCAGCTTCACACTTTGCAAAATTCTGAATCGCGTGTAGCTTTTGAACTAAAGAGGGACAAACGAAAATTTTTCTTGAGCAAACGTGAGCAAACGATGAGCAAACGTATGCAAAAAGAAAATTTTGAGTTTTTCAAAAAGATGAGGCTAGTGTGAAGCTGGCCTCATCTAATTTGAATCGCGTATATCTTTTGAACTAAAGAGGGGCAAATGAAATTTTTCTTGAGCAATCGTATGCAAAAAGAAAAAAAAGTTTTTACACTATTGCATTATTAATTATATTTATATCAGCAAAATGTTTTCAATTTAGACTTTTTATGTAAGGTTTAATAACAAATTGCTGCCAGTGAAGTAAACTGTGGATCAATTTTGATTACAAGGTAAGTTGTCAAAATCTGAATTACCAGATACCTTTATTCATACAGGAAACTGTTTTTAACATAGATCCATATCATCAAAGTGTTTTGAATTTCGACTTTTAAATGAAGGGAACCACAGGCTTGGAGGTTATTCGTTAACAAATTGCAGCAACTGTTGTAAAATGTTTATCCATTTTCATTACAAGGTAAGTTGTCAAAATCTGAATTGTCAGATACCTTCATTCATACAGAATAAATCCATACCACTAAAGTGTTTTTTATTTAGACTTTTTATGTAGAGCTTATAGAAGTGGAATCATTTTCTCATTTTATCATTAACATTAAAATTTATTGCAGCAAAAAAATTGCAGGTATATATAATTGTTTATAAATTGAACCAATAAGTGTTTATATTTAATAAATTATATGAAATATATATATATATTCGCTTTTGTTATCCCCTCTCCCTTGATTTTACTCTATCCAATTAAAAAAAAACAAATAACAACTTAGACTTCTTCTGTAGAGTTTACAGAAATATCAATTTTATTTTTATAAATTTAAAATAGATACTATATAATAAATGATTTGTAAAAAGAAGTGAGATCCGATAAAAAACTTCAAAAAAGTAAAAAAATTACGCCAAGTACATGAAAAAGTGGAAGACTCAGGGAGTTATTATTGAAAAATAGAAGATCCCATAAAAAACTACAAGAAAATAAAAAAAAATGTGAAATCGAAATAAGCTGCCAGATGATTTGTCTAGATTTCCGCGGCCTGGAAGGCAAATACTTGGCGTGGTCAGGCAAGGCATTCTTAAATTATCAATACCCATACTTTCTCTCTTACAGACTTTCAGATAATTTGTCAATTTAAAACTCTGACAATATGAGTACACTTTCATTATTTTGCGTTATAAAATAATTCTTATTCATCGACATCTTGACCTTGCCTGGCCACGCCAAGCATTTGACTTCCAGGCCGCGGAAATCTAGGCAAATCATCTGGCAGCTTATTTCGATTTCACATCTTTTCTATTTTCTTGTAGTTTTTCAATGGGGATCTTCTATTTTTCAATAATAACTCATTGAGTCCTCCACTTTTTCATGTACTTGGCGTAATTTTTTTACTTTTTTGAATAATGTCTACTGTCTGCGCTCGTGTTACCTATTATGCTACCGTATACTGCCATATTCAAATTTAAAACACTATGGGAAATTATCGATAGTCCAAGTGAACTATCGATAGCGTTTCAGATAGTAAAAAACCTTCGATAGTCTCGATAGTACTTATTATCGATAGTTGCTTCACCACTACCCAGAAGCCTCATGACACTCGTACGGCGCGGCGCGGATTTTACAACGTGCCGCAGGACAGTCGCTCGAGTTGGAAGGACAGCGCAGCGGTTTTAAAATAAGCTCGTGTGAGTCCCAGTGCTCTGCCAATGCCTATCGGTCCAACCAGTCTGTCGGACGTGCGCGCTCTCCCTTTCAGCAGTCGTTGATCGTGCACCGTCTTCGCAACAAGTCGCAGCTGTGGCACGTCGTGATCCTAGCAGTCTGCCAGTGGACGCGTTAAATCGAGCTTCGTCCCATCGTGTTTTCAAACGTAGAATCACCGAATGTCGTTGCATGCATTCGTACGCTCGACCAGCGACCGTTCTCGCGCGATACAATAGAGCTGATAGCAGAAAGCTAGAGTGCGCGCCAGATGTCACGTGGTGCCGGTTCGCGTACAGTGTCCGTCGCGAGCACACGATTCCCTGGACGATTTATCAGAGTTCACGGGTACGGTATTGCGTTTCTTGTTACCTGTTGTCTCGTCAACTGTGCTGCTCGCTGTGCGTGCGATGTCGGGTTACAGAAGAAGGTGATCTCCTTGAAAGGATACTCGTGTTAGGTGCAGTCACGGCGCTCTAACGACGGAATCGTAAAAATAGAAGTAATCAGCGTTTCGCGCGATCGTTGCAAAAGCGCCCCTTCTCCGGAAGTGGACCGCGGGAAAATGATTTGCGATCCTGTCCTCGAGCCGCGTTTCCAGCGTTGCGCGCCCCACGGGGCTAAGCTGGACAGTGATCGCCTTGTGATTATTTTTGTGGTGTAATTCGTATTATTAAGCGTTGGAGGATTTATTTATGTTAACGCTTTCGGCCAAACGTGCTCGACAGACCCGTGCTCTTCGGATTAAGGAATACAGTGACAGTGAGCTGACAATGAGAAGAAGAGTATATATAGGAATTCTTTTCTGAGAAACGGATTATTCCTTCCATAGAATATTTAATCTAGAGTTATTTCAACGGGCTTAAAGAACGTTTTAACATTTTTTTAATATAGAAATGACAGATAGAAATATTAGAGCACACCTCGCAATACGCTGTTGTACAGCCATGCAGTCTTCATAGCATGAGCTAAATCAAAATAAAAAGTTGTAGCATTTTCAAGAAGCGTAGCTGTGATTCTATTAAGGAATTTGAAAACTTACCATGTTGTCGTAAAATGACGGTCGTTTAAAGATAAACTGGGGAATATATCCAAAAAATGGTCACATTTATGGGTTTATCTCTAAAACAATACCTATTATAAATTTAAGTTGGTTGGATGTATAGTTTTGAAAGTATCCACGAGGTCTTTGAATACATGAATGTAAAAAAAAATGCCTTTAAAATTTCTCTATTACTCTCTTATCAATGTGGCATGGTTTATGAAAACTATAACTTTATGGATCCGATTCGAATATAATGTTAGAAGGATTTTTTCACCACCTTCGATCTTTCAGAACATATTTATATAAATCGACTTTTTAGAAATTCTTATCATTGTGTTCCCCATTAGTAATTTCTAAAATCAAACTATATTTTCAATTTGAAGAGGGCACAGAACTCGAGACATTAATATCGAATAGTTGAATAGTAAGGCTTACATTCATTCATTGGTGATTATTTTAACGCCGTCCCCATTAGTTGTAAAAACCACTCGCAATTATGAGAGCAATTGGTAATCATATGCTACGTTTGTAATCTGTCACCATGAATTGCCAATGTGTCACCTTTCAGGGCGAACTGTGTGCCATTTGTTAATCGTTAATCATGATTACCGAGTAACATCTACACTGATGCAAAGTTTTTCGAACAATTTGCGAACTAGTCGAATACGCAACAGACGTAATGATTTCTTCGTGCAGTAAATCATTCAATTTAGTATACACGAGGTCTACTACAATTTATGGTAAAATCTTTTGGAACATACAGTACTCGTCGAAATAATTAAAAAAGTGTTGGTAAACGTTGATCTAGATTTCAACAATATCCGAATTATAACGAAAAGTTTGATTCCATCCCATCAGATGTTTAAACTGTCTTCTGCCATATTGATACATCTTTCGACACGTTTTCTCATTGAAATTCGCACAAGCTCGAGAACGTGTATACTACTCGAGTAAATAAAAAGTTTAGGTTGCCAGCTCGCTTCGTAGCAATAATACTTCGGTAAAGAAGTTTGTGAGTATAAAATAAGAAGACCAGTGTTTGCCAATTTCAACATAAGCGTTATTTATAAAACGAAAACAAATAATTTTAGTTTGACATATAGATGTAATCAGTTCTATTTTTAAACGTCTTTGTTTATTATATTGAACAATAATTAGTTTCGATCTCTGAATTTTAGTTTCTTTTCAGGTTATATATAAAGAAATACAATTTAAAAGTAAAAGTAGCAAGAGCTGTTTATTATAACACTCCACTCTTGGATTTGAGTCATCGGATCTAAAATTATTTTGTCGTACTACCATAAGAATATACACAATGCCCCAAGCAAAAATCATCATCCAAACAAATAAAGCATTCATTCTGTGGGGAATACAATTTGTAAGTTAATTTTATAAAATATAATTTCATTCAAATTCTCGACTTTTAATATGATTTTTACCTGGAAAAAATATTTATCGTGATCCTTTATGCATTCAAGCTTATAACATTATTATTGTAATTTTAACCGTTATTATCTTAGGTCTAGAAGTAACTCAAATCCAAGAGACAACACGCTAGAATAAATAATGTTTGTATTAGTATTGACGAACATTGGTCAGAAAGTTTTCTCGAATCACAATACATCTTCGTTGACCATGTTTTTACTAGCATCGTAAATATTATCGAAGAGAGCTAGAAAATAATCCAAACACGTATATTTTTCTTTGTAAACGCTAGATTTACTTCAAATATGTTTACATACAAGTGAATATCTCAATCATCGTTCGTACTAGTATCATCGTTGATATAATTGTTCGAACAGCGATCGTAAAATGTGTAAAACAAGTTGTTATACATACAATTTGTGTCATGTGGCCGTGTTAAATGGCAGTACTGTTTTCTCATTTGTCTATCACTACTACTTGAGGTACGAGTCATCGTATAAGTTTTTTTTTGTTATATCCCCAAGAATGATTACAATTTGCCCAGCAAAGAATATTTAGTAACCTGTAATAATAGAAAAAAATGAAATTTCATCACGTACAATGGGTGTAGAAAGTATTCGTGCACCGATCAATTCCCAAAAAAACTGTGTAAAATTGTAATTTATTAACTTCTTTTTTTATAAACAATGACATTCTTCATATTCTCGGAAATCTCTAGAATAGATAGATTACAAAAAAAAAAATAGCTATTTATCTAAGTTGCGAAATTAACAAGAAAAAACAATTAATGTTTAAAACTTGATTAAAAAAAAAAGAAATTTACATTAATTTATAAGTATATAACAATTCCTTCGTGGAATGTACTTTTGATTTTATAATTATTGTAACTTTTCTAAGCATTAAATTAACTAAATTATTAGTTATTCAAAGTGGGATCTTCTTCAATTCCTCTATCAGAGCCATTCTAAAAACTACTTTACTGGAAATTTGATGATTTCTAATTCGTACGGAGCAATAAACTAACGTGTAAATGGTTCGTCATAAGAATCGTATAAATACTTATTGCTTCTATACTTTTACCCACTTTTCGCATTTTTTTGTTAATTTCACAAATTATATTAACTAGTAAATGTTGTTTGGGCTATATCTATCTTAGAGACTTCCGAGAATATGTAAAATATCATTGATTATAAAAAAAGAAGTTAAGAAACTACAATTTCATACAAAAGTTTTTTGGGAAATTGATAGATGTATGAATACATTCTATATCCACTGTAGATGATTCTCAATTGAATTCATGTGTTACAAAATGTGTCATGTGAGAATAATAGATCCTTCGGATGCTTTTTATGCAATTTTCTGAACATACTGATTTTGTAAGGATTTCTTATTAGATCATTAGGGTGATTGTCCAATCTTTTACATCTGATGCCTACATGGGATATTTCGTCAGCTAACGATGTTATTTTGAGATCTTTACATATTTCATTATTGCGCACATTCCACGATGCATTGACCATAGTCTTAAGTATAATCAATTGTATGGATTCTACTTTCGTTATTCGTTATGTGGCTTTTCGCTTCATTGCATAATAGAATAGATTTTTGCGTCGATGGCTAGAATTCTCGCTTCTACACGAAATTGAATTTTAAAATCCTGGTGGAACCACCTCCGATAGTTGTCAGTTACATTTTGTTATTTTTGGGGTACGTGTTTAGTAAACAACACGAGACGGTTAAATCCTTGCACCCGACAAGCGATTCTCAATCGCCACTAGATTTTATACAACTCGAGTGGCCACTATGAAGTCACAATCTTTCTTACACATCAAGCGCCATGTCAGTCACCGGTGACTGACAATATATTTTCTGTTTAGGCTGCGTCAGTCAGCGTTAACTGACGATATGTAAATATGAAGATACGTAAAATACTATAATATAATATACTAGAGCTGAAGAGAGGTATTGGCAGAGACTAAATCATTCTATAACGTCCTCGGTAAATCTACGAAAGATTCCTTTATGGATGTGTAATATTTTTTAGCTTAGACTTTGTAGAACCCCCTAAAAAAAGATTGGGTACGATCAGATAAGGCATGGCTAAGATAAATGTACCGAAAGACGTCAAATTTTACATAGAAAACGAAACGTGTAGTGCCCCTCTTAATAAAATAATGTTTCTTCTAACAAATGATGTTTACAACTTCAATGTTAAAAGGCATTTATATAAAATTCAATTAATTATGTAAATATATAAGGTATATAATATATAACATTAGGTTTTTAGATGGATACCGCATACAGTGGGCGTAGAAAGTATTCGTACACCGATCAATTTCCAAAAAAACTATGTGAATTGTAATTTATTAATTTTTTTTTTATAAACAATGATATTCTACATATTTCAGGAAATGTCTAGAATAGATACAGTACGAAAAGATTAGGTATTTTGTATAAATGAGAAATCAACAAGAAAAAACAATAAATCGATAGAAATATAGAAGCAATAAGTATTCGTCCAAGTGTTAAAGTTTTAAAATTTCATTTAAAAAAAAAAAGAAATTCACATTAATTTATAAATAATTAATTCTTCGTGGGATTTCCTTATGATTTTATAATTACTGCAACTCTTCTAGGCATTAAATTAGCTATCATAAATGTCGATGTTCTTCGGGGTGAGATTTTCTTTCATTCCTTTATTACAGCATTTTTTAAGTCTTTTTGACTGGAAATTTAATGTTTCCTAATTCCCACGAAGCAATAAACTGATGTGCTTATATTACAAATTCTACTGTACTGTAACCGTGTGAATACTTATTGCTTCTACATTTCTACCAATTTTTCGTATTTTCTTGTTAATTTCGCAAATTATATAAACTAGTAATTGTTGTCTGAACTATATTCTAGAGCTTTCCGAGAATATGTAGAATATCATTGATGATAAAAAAAGCAGTTAATAAACTATAATTTCACACAAAAGTTTTTTGGGGAATTGATAGATGTATGAATACATTTTACACTCACTGTATATCCGGCGCTCGTACCGAAAGAGTGTATATTGTACAGATTTACAGAGTATTTAATTTGCGCCAATACCTTTAGTCGGTACTTTTTATATGCACACGTAGTATAATAATAATATATGTATACGTATAATATATACGTGAATTTGTCTATAAAACCATTTCATATTACATATAAGAAATGAAGAAGTTGGTCGAATATTCAAACAGATCGCCCGGAGTTGCTAGTTCTACTTAGTGAAAATGTCTCGCGCAAAGGGTTAACTCCTGAAAGACGAGATGCTGGTTCCGTTAGGTCGACAATGCCTTGTACAGTAAATACGTTCCAATAAAATCCATCGCTAAACAAAACAGCGTTAAACGAGAACATCTCAAGACGTAAAGAATGGGGATAAGTGAAACAGACCAAAGAATAAGAAAATTTATCAGTTCTTTTTTTAATTTATTTTGTAACATTAATTATTAAATAGTTTTTTATTGCATCAATTTGTAAGGCGTTAGGGAAAGGAAGGAGGCGTGAGATAGGACTCAAACAAATTCCACATAAGATTAACTAGTAAGTTGCTATTATATTATTATTTAGACTAAAGTATTTGTCATACGTCATATAAACACATAAAACGTAAACAATATCAATTATAGACTTATTTATTGCTAATATCCATTTTTATTAATAAAAGATTCATGAAAATCAAGAAAAGTTCGAGTAAAGATGTCATATAAGTTTATGACGATGAAGGTTCTTTCTCATTTGATATATCTTTTTTTTTTGTTACGAAGTCATCTAAAGTCGTTTGTTTAGTAGTTGTCGATAGCTAGACACCGTATCAATGACATTTCGTCTTGCCTTTATATTTTAATCAAAATTTAAATCATTTTGTACAGATCGAAAAAAAAAACTACCAAATAGTACTACCACGTAATATTGAAACAGCGTTTAGCGGTGCAGCGTTAAGCGGGATCTCACTGTACATATGTATATTAATGCAGCGATATTAGAACGGGGCAAGTTTGTACACAAAGGCACGGCCGCGGCCGGTGCAAATGGGCGATCAAAGGGGCAATGTTTCTCGTAGCACTTCATTAAACGCGCAAGCGTGTAAATAAAAAACGTGTTTCCGTTGAAACATTACCACCTTCGTCTCCTTTGTTTCGTCGTTGGTGTTAACTTCGTCGCTATTGGAATTCCCGCGTGTTTTTGCGCTAATAAGAGCATAAGTCACGGCACGGCGCGGGGTCGTTGTGTGCGTGCAAGATCGATTATTCTTGGAACGTCGCAGCGTGTGTTCTGCGATGTATATTGTTACAAATCCGGCGTGTTCCATTTAACGCGTCGTTCCTTTACGTTTCCTACGTAGCCGATTCTAAAATGACCAACATAATTAATTCTCGAATGCATATTTCTGTACAAAATCAAAGTAAACGTACATAGACAAAAATAGTAATAATTTCATTATTATTAGAAATTATCTCACATTGTTTCTTATTACTTTTCTGTCATTTTACACAATCTTAAGAAAAAACCGTTGTTGTACAACGTTGTTGACAAATTCGGAGGAATATTACCCATTTTAATCTGTGGCGAAACTATAGCACGCGTGCCTATAACGGCACGTAATATGATCGGATCAGTACAGAATTGTAAATAAAATTTCTTTTATGCTGTAAATTTATGGAATAAATTTTTGTAAATAGACATGAATTACAAAATATTTGCAATAAATGCATATTAATATTAGCAGTTTACCTATGTCGATGTGCTAAGTGACCTTTCATCTGATTATAGTGTGTTAAATTTAGCAACATTGTGCACGTTCTATTAATACTTCGTATTACTCAATTGTTTACGCAACGTATTTCAGTAGCTCCAAATTAATCTTAAAAAATTTAAGGAACCTCACGGGTACGAACATGGTATCCAAGATGCTTAAAGTGTGTAGATCTTTTTCAGTATTAATGTTTTCGGGTAAACATTACGAATATGTTATCTTAATAGCAGTAATTTAGGAAAGGACACAGTATAATAGTAGTCTATATAATTGCAAATTCAATTTCGTTTGATATGAATTTAATACATTTATATATGATATGGAGTACAATGTCCATTTTTTAGAATTCATTTTTGGTACTCGATCATAATAAGGTTCGCCAACCCTAGCCTAGGGTATGCATACTGTCGATTTACGTTTAGCAATTACATTATTTCTACGTAGTAGGTTTAAAGATTTAGTGATATTTAAAAATTTAGTAAATAATTTACTAGATTTCACTTCTAGATTGCATGCTTTCAGCAACAACACTAATCTTCAATTGCATATAATTCTTGTGCGCGAAATCAAAGTAAAGATACACATATAAAAATTGTATGATTTTTCAATTATGATCTTAATTATTATCATAAATTATTCTACACTAAATTTCGTTTCTTTTCTTTGCTTTTTAAGTTTTCATATAATAGCTGTCAGTTATATTTAGCAAGGTAAACAATTCCTTTGTCAAGAAAATATTTGTATAGATATAAAATCTGCTCAAAATTTAAGATATGTTTTAGAGTAAAAGTATTTTACCAAAAGTAAAGTTAAAGGTAAATTCCCATTGCAATTTTGTTTCTCTGTCTTTCAATCACGATTTCACCTAATAATGTAATAATATTACGTAATACATGTAATACGTGCACTATTGAGAACGAATACATTTCTTTTTAAATGTAAAATTAAATTAAGGAAACAATTAACAGATGCACAAATTTCTGTTTTATAATAAACTTTCAGTTGCTAGTATATTTACCTATATCTGAATTTCTATAGCTCGATAAAACATTTCAGACGTGAAATAGTAATCATCGCAGCGTGTGTTCTCCGTTGTGTATTGTTACACATCTTCCGCGTGTTCCATTTAACCCACGCTCCTTTACGATTCTTCTCGTTTTACCTTCTCTCGAGTTTCGCTTCTCACCTTAAACTTTTCGTCGCTTTGTGAATCGTCGCGAATCGTAATCTTTTTCTCGTTCTACGTTTGCTCGTCGACGAATTAAACGATTCATGGGAAAGAAAGTTGTGTAAATCGCACGCACACAGAGTGTCCGGTTGCATACGGTTGACCACAAATATTTGAATTACAGGAAACGACGGTGGTGAACGATAGTTGACGAGAGGCTCGTTTCGATAGGGAAAGCAATTGTGCCTGACAATGAGGTATATATGTACCCGATTAGAAAATTAAACTAGTGCGTCTGTTCGTAACGAACCGCGAGATCGAAAGTGCTCGATAGGTGAATCTTTTGAGAGTGCATCAAGCCCCAAAGCGGATGTAGCGAAGAAAGTGGTTGCAGCCAGTGCATGGTCAAACGTCACGTTTGGTCGCCAAACTTGAGATACAAGGGTTTCCCCAGCGGGCGATATAGTGATTAGTGGTAAATAAAAAGTTAACGAAAAACGATTGACACCTTCGATGAGAGTTATGTGACGATCGAGCAGATGTCAGGTGTCGTCGGTTACGTCGAGTCGAAGTCACGATATTCCGCACCCTGGTATTCCAACATCGACGTGGCACTCATGGGAATTCAAAGCACCGCTCAGTTCGTCGAGAAGTACCACCATATTATCGGTATGAAGTCTTTTTCTTTCCATTTTCTTTGTTTGTTACCGAAGAACTCGATCTGGTAATTTTCTCTTTTGCCGTGTTTTGAATAAATAAAAGTAGCAAATAGGACGTTATTCGAAAAGACATATCTTAGAAAGATGTATTACAAGACCTATGCAATTATTAAATATATTTCGAACCAGTTATTTCTTATTCTCGAATAAAATTGTAGAAAAATACAATTTTTAGTTGAAATTACCAGACTGTTTCCATAACAGGGAAAGGAGAAACTGTGAAAAGAAAGGATTTTCTTGGAAGTATTCATATAAAAGTTGCTTGACATGTTTAGAGTCAATAGGAGAAAGACAATGACTGACACGAGCATATGTAATTTCGGTCAGTGTTTTTTAAACTTCACCATTCATAGAGCCTTCTAAATGTTTTTTTTCTTTTTTTTTTTTAGTATATTTTGAAAAGATTCTTAGAAACATGTTTATGTTTAATAATTTTTTATCCAATTAGAATAGTTTTAAGTCTTCTAACCAAACTTTTCGTATGTTATTTGGTAAAGAAGTGTAGGACCATAAATATAAAAAGACATAGAATGAAAAATGATAAGTATGTTCTAAGATGAAATCGGAGTTAATGAAGTTATACCAGTTTCCTTTTTTATGTTTCTACTATCGGACATAGTACAGAACATAATGCAATATGAGAATCAATTTATTTAATTATATAAAGTAGTAAAATCTATATAATAAAGAACCGAATTTTCATTCCGACTTTCTCGACTGTTAATTTATCTTACACACTTCAAACAATATCGTGTCTTACTACTTTAACATACTTTAATATTGGGTTTCTATTATCTAGATTTTTTAATAGTGAATTATTCAATACAACGAGAATTTATATTTTGATATTTTCTTATCTATACTTTCATATCTTCTTGCTCTACTTTCTTCTTAATAAAATTCTATAAGACTATGAATTGTACCGTAAGAGGGCCCAATATTGTCCTTTAATGCTTGTCAGTTGATACTGCTTTTCTTTTGAATAATTTTTTTTTTATAAAAGGGGGATAATTAAAACATTGTGGCTTCTTGAATGAATATTGAACACAATCTGTTTGGATCTTTCACGAGTCATATGTAAATTATCGAAGACACGACCGGTGCATTCGATAATACGTTGCGGAGGTTAGCAGTATCTTGGTATAATTTCCGCGAGTGTCATAAATCTGCCAACTTGAATGTAGTTCCGCGCTGAAAACTTCGGTCACCGCGAAGCATGTTGAAGTGAAATAAAACCGATCGTCTTGCATATGCGAGGCACGCTTACACACCGCTAAGAATTTATTTATGAAAGTGTAATAATCTTTCGCGCTTTTTGCCGTGCCATACTGTTTTGCAGACATTTTACACATCGTTGTAAAATAAAAACACGAGACTGTAATATAAAAAAGATGAGTTAATTGCTGCATTTTGTTCGTGCGCACTTTTTAGTATAATGTTTCATGTTCTCTTGATTGATATATCAGCCTCAATTTTTACTCTTATTTTCACGCTTCGGAATATGGTTTCAGATCAAACGTATCATGTTTTCTCAAATTCTATTTCAATCTTTACTGTTACTCTAGAGTTTGGAAATGTTTTCTATTTGTTCAAATGGTATATTTCTGTTTTAATTTTTATTTTCACTTCTGTGCCTGCCAATTGATTTCCAATCAAACATTTCATACTTTTTCAATTGTTATATTCCTGCTCTTATTTTTACTCTTATTGTGGTAATTAAAAATTTATTTTTTATTCAACGTTACATATTCTTTAAGGTAGTATATTTCTGTTTTAATAATTATTTTCGCATATACTGTCACGCTTAAAAATTTATTGTTAATAAAATGTACCATATTCCTTCAAGTTACAAAGAAGTTTACAAACGGGTGTTTGGGATTTTGGTTTCCAATAAAATACAAACGGTATGGAATATATTCGATTTGAACGTCGCCACCAGATATTACATGATTATATATAAACGTAAAAAGTGACGTCATTTAAGTATCCAGATTACGCTGAAAAGTTGTATGTTGATATCCAACAAGAAAATCCTAATGCGTCATTTGGAAAACCTTTCATTTTTGCTTTAATCTTTGATTTTGCTATCGTGTTTGGAAAATAATTTTCACAGTTTCTCGTGATCCTACATAAATTTATTTGTACATTTCTCAAATGACATGTAGAAAGTGTTAATTCTTTGTGAGCTGCTCGGTCATTGACCAATGTTTGGAACCGTGTTAACAAATATCCCATCCCGATCCTCCGTTGTCGCCGTTCTCTCAAACCAAGTCACCCAGAAATTGTACAAAACAGAGAATATACAAAGAGCATGACCACCACAACATATGTAGCCTTTCTCCTGTCCCTTTTTTCTCTCAATACCTCAAGTTTCTCGACATCTTAACAGTAGTAAATCGTTTTTTCTGTAAAACTTTCGCGTACACCGTAAATCAAATCGTACCACCCTCTGTCTCGATAAAAACTAATTTTTTGCGTTACCGCTGAAAATAGAACTCCACATATCCCCTTCGAGATCGAAGGCACGATCATCAAGTATGCTTATCATCAAGAGTAAGGATATCGAAACACCGTGTCGACGATTGAAAACGCTTTCATGTCCTGTGTCGAATTTCAGTGGATGGGAATCACCGATGTTACGTCATTCGTAATACAATTTGAGAGGATCATATTTTTCGGAACTTAATTTTGTATGCGACCTAATAATAGCTCAGCAAAATTTAAATTGGATGCAACAAAATATGTACATATAACATTGCGAATACTAATCGAAGAAAACGTTTTATGTAAAATTTGTCTTTCAATTTCTTACAAAAATCCGCAATTACTTCGCTGTCGACCCAATAGTTATCCTAATATTAGGATGCAGTACTTTATGCAAGTATTAGATATTGAGGTACAAACGAAACGAGAAGCGGGACAAACGGGTACAAACGATTCTAAAGAACAGGGAAAAAACAGATTTTAAATACATATATTGAAAATTGACGAACTTCTCTCTTACGCGTATAAACAATTGTTTGTAAAATTTAAACTATCGAGATACAAACGAAACTATTGGTGGTGCAATCAAGCACGAACGAGATACTATCATTTTCTATAAAAAAAAAATTAATTTTTGAAAAGTCAGCTGCCAGGTTCACATAGCTAGATTGAACGCAACATTACCAGTCTCATTACTTAATTTAAACATATCGTATATTGAATCACAAGAGTCATACTTACTTGTATGAGTTAGATAGTGGGAAATTAGATTTCTTTTAAAAGTGCTCAAGTAGCACGTGAAAGTAATGAGACTTCATATAATTAATCTTGAAAAAGAGAATTAAAATAACTCTTCTCTAATTCACCATTATTGACGTGTTCAATATTGAAGTAGGCATACTTATAATCTATATAAAACCTCTAATCATCTATTTTGGATGATACTTTTAGAAAAAAACTCAGCTCTTTTATAATACATTTTATTTTCTCCGATTCAGGCATTATATTCGCTTGTAAATCATATCTGGTATTCAGAAATAATCATTTTAACTCTTTAGCGAAATCACAGTGTAGACAAGTTTTTTTATTTGAACAATAGGAGCTTCCTAGTAGGAATACTTAATTTTTAATTTTAAAAAGTTTGTAAATTTATCTCCTCGCATTAGGAATATTCACGTGGAAAAATTTGTCGCGTGTGTCTTCGTCTTACGATCTATGTGTAAATGCGAGCCCTGTTGGAGAAGAAAAAGACAGAAGGCTAAATTTCGAACCACTCCTAAGTAATCTGCGAGTAGGGTCCCGCTGGTCTATTTTATAGGCGTTTCTGTAACCGTTGATGAAACGTGATCGACAGTCGGATAGCGGTAGGGGTGGGGTTGTTACGTGTATATTTAAAACCGTTTCGTCAGAGATTTTCCTGGGCCGTCTCGAGTACGTCAAGGAAGACTGACGCCGTTCGATAATTCATCGACCGTCAAATCATTTTTCGTGACGTCCAAATCGATCGGGTTTCCTTCGTACTTCTTCACCTGTCTTGCGGTCATGTGATCGCTTTTGCCAAAGATTGGCAAGTTTTTTATCAACGGTAGATGACAAAACATTAAGACGGAAAAGAAAAACTAAATTACTTTTTGGACAAAATATATAATCGACTTCGAGAAACATTAAAACTGCACTAAAAAGTATGAAATAATTTCTATTTAAACTGCATTATTACTCACCAGCTCTTGGTGAATTTGATTAAACTATTATGTACAGCATACTAAATACAATGTTATTATTATATCCGCTTTAGACATCACACATTAACTTTATTCAATATCGCCGTCCCCACCAAATACTATCCCAAACCCACTCGGACAGCATTTCCATGGAAAGAGTATATACATTAACAGTGTTAATGTAAATACGTACTTCCATGGAAATGCATTAACAGTAATTAATATTGCCACTTCCAACTCCCGCAAAAGAAAGAATGCCCCAAACCTACTCAGACAGTATTTCCACGTAGTCAACATACATACAGTGGGTGTAGAAAGTATTCGTACACCGATCAATTTCCAAACAAACTATGTGAAATTGTAATTTATTAACTTCTTTTTTTATAAACAACGATCTTCTACATATTCTTGGAAATCTCTAGAATAGATACAGTATAAAGAAAAGTAGTTATTTATAGAAGTTGCAAAATTAACAAGGAAAAACAATGATTCGATAGAAATACAGAAGCAATAAGTATTCGTACAAGTGTTACATTTTTAAAATTTCATTTAAAAAAAAAACCGAAATTCACATTAATTTATAAATAATTAATACATCGTGGGATTTCCTTTTGATTTTATAATTACTGCAAATCTTGTAGGCATTAAATTAACTATCATAAATGTCGATTTTATTCGTTATAGGAACTTCTTTCATTCCTTTATTAGAGAACTTTTTAAGTCTTCTTTAACTGGAAATTTAATG